TAAGAATACCGTTAGAACGAAGTGCGGAGTACACATATTTTCACAACTGTTATCCGCTATCTAATGGAACAAAGTGAAATAGGCCGTGTAGGGGACAATAAAAGTTTATCAGCGCTGTAATAGACGACTTTGCGGCGTAGTAATGAAATACTATGGGTATTAGTAGACCACCAAGAGTGACAGTGAAAGGAAAGCCGTGCCTAACAAACCGCCGACGTATTGTGGGAATTTAAAGACATTAAAACTTCGGCAGAGAATACGTTAGTGGAAAGTTTGCCTAGAACATTAACACATAGATCTTATTTGGTGTTAGTGAATTAATTGCTGTTAGTTAAAAATCAGAGAGTGGGAACGAACAATTGAAATGGGTTAACTGATTTGACTTAATATAAGATTGAGAACCCATTAATTTTTGTAACGTTCTCAAAAAAAAAGTAAAACTACATATAAGTCACTCGAGTAATATGCCTAAAAATAAATCCCTTTTCTATTGTCGAAGACAAAAAATGTCTAAATGATAAAATTTTAAACATACAACCAAACTTAAGTGCCTTCCATTTCAACGTCAAACATACAACAAACATACAACTTAACTTAAGGGCCTTCCATTACAAAGAACTCAAAAATTCACAAAAGGATGAAAAATTTATTCAATATTAAAAAAACACTCACTCTCTCATGCGATTACATTAACAACAAGATTATATGCATAAGAGTAATTGATATAGTATCTAACTGTTAACGTTTGTAATGTTTTGAGCATGGTATATCAAATCATCATTTGATTGTTTGTCTGCATCATAATTACGAGATAACAATACATGATTGCGATCGACGTTTATGTCTCCCTAACAATTGGATGACGAATGAGGTTTTTACTATTTCAGTAAACAGGGATCGATATCTCGAGTCGGGGATCGAATTGTTCAATACGCACCGTATTGATTAATTGTTTCTTGTGACGCGAAGTAATAGCGGTGAGTTTTACTGTCCGACGATTGTTGCTAACCCTAGTTTTGTGTTATCTGTTAAATTATCGATAGAATTTCGATGAGAATAGTGCTATTGTTTTGCGATAGCGTGTTCATTTCCAAAAAGGCTTTTGCAGTTTACTTCTTTAGAAAAGATTTAATTTAAGTCCCCGGTATTAAAATTTATACTCTGTTATTATTTATCTTATTAGAGCACTTTTGCTTTTGAACCGTAACTTAATTGAAATAATGTAGCAACAGCGAAACAATCTACTGCTTTACAAGATACTGTACTGATACTCAATTATAAACGCATTAATTTTTCCTATAAAATAAATCGTATATTGTAATCAAAAATAAGGTATATGTTTTTTTATAGAAATTGTTTATATTCTTGATATCAATAATCGGTTCAGCAAGTAACAAACTTTTGAAATATTATTTTTATTAAATTTAACTAAAAACACTAATCTTTTATTTAATTAATATAAGCAGTCTCAGTCTATTCCGAAAATAGTTAATATATTGTAGGTATTTTGGATTATAGATATCAATGATAAATTGAAAAGGCTATTAAAACTTTTACCAGCGTGTCACTACACAGTATTGTTATTAAAAGTTCATGAAATTCTTAACAAATCATAGAACACAACAAATACAAGCTCATAGTTTTTCCTCAAACTTAATTCATTCAAACTTAAATATACTTTTACTTTCAATAAAAAAAATATTTTAAAATTTTATAGGACCTAAACTCTTTAGTATTTTTTAAAGTAATTTATTGCATGTGTTTCAAATGCATTACTAAAAACAATTTCGATTCACTAATGGTACAACTAATGGTCATAGCACTGACAGTTTATTAGCAATTTGGCTGCCGTGTGTTGTTAAAGTGATTATTTCACGTCAGGATTCACTGGTACTGCAGTAAAGTAATCATCCATTCCGATTTCCTCTTTACAAGGCATGGATGGTTTTACTGTCCAGTCGTTTCAAAGCAACCTACACGGGCATACAGCGTTCTTGCTGGTGCGGGTACGGGCCCTTCGCGTTAGTTGGCGGGAAAAAAAAAGAAAACTCAAGTTTTTGTAAACTTCTAAGCAGTACAAATTTCAAATTTCGAATAGGATTTCCGTGACGTGTTACAAAGGTACAATTTTTGATTATTGTATTCAATATGTATTTGTTTTTTCATGAGCGTGCGTAAAAACCCTAATTACTCTTAAACTTTTATACTAAATTGTCAATCAATTTGTAAATTCTTGAGAGAACTTTATTCTATGTATTATCATAATAGGTCTATAGTGTTGTAAAATATTCGAATATTAAAAAAAAACTCTCGAATTAAATGAAATATGTGTAAACTCAGTTTAATACATACATACGACAGATTCATGAAATTTTTTAATAATTAATTTAAGCTAGGTTTGAACTGATATTTATGCTTTATTATTTTTGAGCAGAAACTTCGACCGACGCGTGCTATATGAAACACCGTTGAAACCGCATGAGATGACCCAATTCAATCTTTCGCTTTATTTACCTTTGTAATGTTAACGTAATGATATGAAACGCCTTCATTCATCCTTTTTAGTGTCTGCAGTATATTTGGTCATAATCTATTGCGGCACCGAAGATTTTCAGTGTTTTTATCTCAGACGCTTGAGTTTTATGTCCCAGAGATGGCGGTATTTATCTTAACGTTACCTTAATATTGTCTTAAATTATTGAATAAATTTATTTAATTTACCGCCGCACTCTCAGACTACTATAAACTCTTAATTGGTATTAAAATCATTTACTTATTTTTAAACTAAGAGTGAGTGTGCTAGCTAGAGTCATAACAGAACTTTAACAAAACTCCTATTAAAGGAAAGCGTACTTACTAACTACTACGAAAGTTAATTCGAATACTAAACTTTTATAAATAATTGAAAAGAAGTTTAATTGAAAAGAAAAAATTATTCGCCTTTAAAAAAGTATGCGTTCGAAAACAAAAGAGGAAGCTTTTAACAGAATAAAAAATATTCTTGAATCGTTCCTTAGTTACTTCAGAATATGATAAACGAAGATAGATAAGTGGACGAAGTCATGCAATTTAAATGTATAATTCATGATTATTCTAAAATAATTTTTTTCGCATCGGTTCCTTGGCGTATTTGTAAAACACAATATACTGATAACAACATATCCAGAGCAGTGACACAGTGCGTTATGGCGCAAGCGTTTTGTCGTCGCCTTCATCCGAATATTTACCTCCCTTATGTGTTTACAGATAATGTATCTTAGACACGATTAATAGGCTAGTTGGAACTTAGATCGAAGAAATAACAACACGCAGTCATTGAACGGATGCAAGGATTGGTTGCTTACGGTATAATGTTATGATTTAAACGCTTCCCTCTAAAATGACTCTTTAGTGGGTGGTTAAAATTATGATTATAAAAAGCTAATATTTACGAGTAACATGAAATCTCCAATTTTCCCATGGAACCTTATTATGTTAAAACCGCTACATTACATATCACTAATAAAATAATAGTATAAAAAAATATAAAGTAATAATTTAAATGTTAATACAAATAATATTGACTGACAATGTATCATGTTTTGTAAACCACTTGTTATACTTAAAATGCTGAAAAGGCAGTGTTAGGCCATCAAAGTACTCGAAACTATAAACAAAAAATTGTACTTATTTGGGTGAATAAAAATAATTCTTAAATTTTATTGTTTAGAAACGTGTAGCGTGAATATTAATATTTATACGAAGAGCAGATTCGCGCACTTAGAAATCTATTACAGCCAGAGCGAGATTCATTCACGTTCAGAAGCATATTCCGCTCGTCTTGCCTCAACGCGTGTCGGCGTGACTCACCGTTCTCACGAGATATTGTTTGTCCCTTATCTTAATACTTCCTCTATCTCAGGTATCCGGCCAGCGTTTGTTTTGTTATTGGGATATATTCTCCTATTAATCTAACGGCGCGTTTCGTACGGTTGTAAATGGAGATGTTCGGTGTTTTATTGGCTGATAAACCATGACCGTTGACACGCATCTGTCGCGATATCAAAGCGGGGAGGCTTTAATCTTCAAATCTCCTCTGCCCACTGCACGCCTCTTCCGTGGATAAGCACGTGACGCAGCTTAGGCCGCATACGCGGAGATGCTTTATCACGTAATACGTGATTTGTATTATCTTCGAACAATTTTCGTATTTCGTAAACATTCGTATTTATCCAAAACTGTTGCATATCTTGAAAAAATTCGTATATTTAAAAAAAATCGTATACATATAATAAAAAAAGCCGTATGTTTGTTGTATCTCACATTAAATTAACTTTAAAATTACTAATCATAACTTTTGGAAAGGAAAAGAGATAATTGGTATTTCCTTAAAGACATTTTTTTTATTTTATTTATTTATCTCGGTTAAAATAATTTTTCTACAGCCTTATTCTTTAAGGAACTTACTTCAGCGTGAGAATAGAATTCGATTAAGCAGGATCTTGTCTTTGCGTAGATCAATCCAGCACACTGTGACACAATCAGAAAGTGATTTAAATATGATGATAAAACCATGATTCTGTTTGCTTTTTTTATTGAATGATCTTTTTTTTATGTGATAAGTTGTCAAACTAGCAGACAGTTCATCTGATGTTAAGTGAATACCGCCGCCCATGGTCATCCACTACACGCGAGGGTTCCAGATGCGTTAACAACCAAATCTACTGAATTATTAAAATAATAATTGATTCTTTATTTCCAAGAGCTTTAGATGTAGTTTCAATCGATGTGATACGAGTACTGTTTTCATTTTGTTACAGATTACAAAGGGATTGTTTTCGTGAAGATCTGCTGGTGTTTTGATAAAAACAGACCATCAAAAAACAATTGATCTGATTGTTTTTATAGATTATAGTGAATAGTGTAGTGTAAACAAATTAAAAACAAATGCTCCCGGCCGTGATATTAAAATGAGCAAGGCGAAGCTAAAGCACTGGAATGTGAATAGTCTGTGACGAAAAATGGAGCAGCGGAGGCATTCAACGCGGGCAAATAAGCCATTTTGGTAAGTTTTTATTTTTAAATTCAACTTTCGTTAGAATTATGAAATAGTCTTTAAGTTAATAATGATCGATATTTATATTATATTTTATTAAATGATTTAATTATGTGAATCGGCATTTCTGTTTTCATTATATATGTCCTAATCGAGTTCGCTTTTGCGTCTATTTGTTGTATCTGTGGTATAAGACTGTAAATAAAAAAAATATAAATTATAAAATTTTTAATTAAAATTTGAAAGTGTAATTCTATTCTTAACCTTATACTCGTAGATTTAGACATGGTGCTATAAATTTTTACTAAAGCTATTTAGACTCAAAAGTACTTCCTATAGTTTACTACTATCAATACGATAGAATTACTGTTTATTTGATTGAGAAATCTCTGCGCCAAGGCGACACCGCTCACAAGCCGAATTCGGAGCAAGCCAAACACCGGCTACACATCGACCACTACTACAATGTTTATCCACAACAAATCTTTTTAAGCGTTCTCGAACGGTCGTACCTTTCTCCTGTCCGCGCATGGCTCCTTCGAGAGTAAAAGTAAACAGAAATTATGCGCCCCATTCACAGCGCACGCGCTTGGACAGGATTTAAAAAAATAAGGTCAAGTGTTTAGCTGAACCGGCGTCGTCCTGGCCGCGTGTGAACTTTTCTCGTTATTCCTCCACTAACTGTTTCCGACGCTAAATAAATACGTCACTCACAAAGCCACGTCACCCTGATGATGTATTATCGCTTTTATAAGGAATAGCACGCGTTGTTGTGATTTGACAGCGTTATTTGTAGTTAGCAGGGTTAGCAGTAGTTCATAGAAGGACTATTTACCGCAACTTTGCCAAAGTATGTTTATACTAATAACAATTCCAAAGAAATAGTACACCATATCCGAATAATATACATCGTTATCCTTTTTTATAATTATACATATTTAATTAGTCTAGTGACCTAGTCTAATTTTGGAAATTAATCTAGCGCGTGTTTTATAAACGTTAGGTTCCTTTTATCAACCTGGTGTTATATTAAAGAAAATTTATGAAATTTTCGTTTTTACAGACTAGATTTTTATATGTTTTTATAAATATGGGACTATTGTGGTTCCTGATTTACATAATGTATGACACACCTCGAAAACTTGTTGCAGTTTTTCTTCATTTTATTGTTTTATAGACTCATCCACAAATTCATTTATCAGTCAATTGGAGCCTTATTGACCTTTTAAAACTGAATGTAGTAAACTAACGGAAAAGTTAGCTAAACGCGAATGCTAACTAAATTCGCGAATTCTGTGATAGTCAATGAAATTTTGTAATCAACAAATTTACGTCCGGCAAATATGAAGCGCATTTTTAGAAGCTTATTCAAGACGTACAAAAGGCCTTTTACACAGGAATGGTATTAAAATAAACTTTTCTGGACCACCCCAAGGTTGGGAGATAGTGCCGATGGCATTAAGTGCGCTTTTATACATACATGTTTGTGCATAAACAATAAATAAATAAGTAAATAAATAACCATGCTCAACATCGTAGCGTCGCGCGCATTAGAAAAATATTTAGTGAGTAACATTTTCGGCTTTGTACGTCTCAGAGGCGCGTATTAGAATGGGAATAACGGCGATCGGCACTTAATAAAGCACTTAAGACGTTCATTAGGCCGTTCAACATAGTCGTTTGATCGTTTTAATGTAGAGTGCGACGCGGTTGCATTCGCTGCTAGTACGTAGCGTATCGTCTTCTCAAACTTCTAATGGAGTTGTCGGATTGCGCAACCTGAATTGCGTGGGTGCCGTGACCCTCTAGGGTTGGCGACGTACCCGAATACGTTATTAATCCTTTTAATTGCTATTTCCCTTTTTTAAATGTTAACGTAGGATAATATTGTTTGTAGAGTCCTTTCACGAATTCAAAAATACAGAGAGATAACTAGCGAGAAACACTCAGATTTAAAACCACTTTTCCCATGCATACGGATACCACGATACTTTGTGCTTTAGTGTTATGCTTAGCAACTATCCGAACTGGTGGGTAAGGTATAAAGAGTGATAAGTTTGTAATACGGACATTTTTTAAGTTTATTTATTTAAAAATATTATTATACTCCCAGCTTAAGATCATTCAGAGAGGGCAGTGTCTCGCGTTGAGTTCAATGTACTCGAGCAACCTGAGTTCAAATCCCGGTATCGGCACCAATAAATTTGTTAATTTTAAGTCCTGACTTATCTTAGCTGTAAAGGAACATTGTAAGGAAACCTGCATATTTTCGGGGGTCTATCGCGCGCGGGTAGAAAAAATTTTACTTTCATATTTTTTTCCAAAAGCGCCAAAAGAATAATAACTCCTAAAATAGAAATTTAAATTGTTTATAATGCTAATCTTTGCACTTAAGATTGAACATTAAAAAACATTTTTTTTACATATTTTAAAACTCCTAAAATATTTCGAATATTTGTGAAGTCTGCCGTGAGAAAATATGCAGACCTGACATGAATAGGCTTTTTAAGTTACTTTACTTTATCTTTCAGCTTAAGGTACTCATAGTAATTAACTTAGAGGATGTCATAAAAATGCATGAAGTGGGAGAATAAATTTAAAACCAAAATTATTTGTTCAAGAACAATACAGCTGATGTAACATTTGAAAAGTATAAAGAATAGCGTCGATATTCCCTTTATAATATCAGACTACGCAGCACGTGTGATTGAGATACAATTTCTCCTATCGGCAGCCCTATTGAAGGAATTTTACACGAAATCGGTAAACGAAAGCGCGCCGCGTAATTGCTTAGAGAAGGAATCCGTGTCATATTACAGCCCACGGCATCATGCCCTAGCTTGCCGAGCGGGGCTTCTGTTTGTTTGTCACAGACAATGATTTAGGTGGGCGGTGTTTCGTTCACCGTCCCAGCCGTGGGAGCGTGATGCACGACTTGTGGTTGAGACTGACAAATTGTTTATGGATCTAGCAGCTCACTTATTTTTGAGACAGCGAATATACATTTGTGTCATTACACTTTAGTGTAACAATGCAATGCAAGAACTAACTTTTGACCTTAACGTGACTGTGTATCACTAACTTGATGATTATTTTTTTTTGTTTTTAGCACTAGTCTGAACTCGAGATGAAACTTAATTGTGAGCTTAATAGATATTTTCAGGAAAGTTTTTTTTTTCAATTTTATCGTTTTTTTTGGCACTGCCAGGATTAGAGACTACTCTTTCGTCGTACACAGGCTCGCATCCAAAGCAAAGCTCGACAATTTATCTATTCAACTTGCATTTATTTAAATTTCGCCTTCATTATTCGTTATATGTACATATGATATCTGCTAGTATATAAAGATCAATGTTTGCTTGTTTGTTCGTAGTTTATATTCATAATACGTTGTCAACTTATACATTGCACTCATAGAGGCTATGGGTAAGGAGAAAATTCTCTGTGTATAAAAAGTGATCGTTGATAGGCGTTAAATTTGGAACGGTAAGCATGTGGTTTGTAGGTAATGGTGGTAAATTAGTTGTCATGGTTACTAGAGTATATGGTTAATAGAAAGGTAAATAATTTTACCCTCTTGTTAATCTAGCGCCACTCTGGAGGGATTTGGAACTGTTATGTACTGCTTACAAGTGGACATTTTTGTAGCTGTTCCCATACGAGACAGTGCTCCTTACCTTTACCCTACACACTTGCATTTTTAAGATGATTATAGGTATAATACATACCATTAACTAACAGTAGATGGCGTATGTGTTTTGCAAATCTTTCTAAAAGATAACTCTATTAAATTACAAACGATATTTCTTGTTTTATTCGATGAAAAGCGCTGGATACGAGCAAGTATGAAATAAAATAATAAAAGTAATATTGAGGCGATCAAAGACAATTAAAGTGTGTAACGTGTGATTTTTATTTGAACTCTAATCAGGTTAAGATAATAGCAAGATGGAAGGAGTATTAGAACCTTACAATTCAGTCTATCATCTCTTTTAAAGAGGGAAGAGTGTTCATGACACAGGTGTACAGTAATCAAGTGTGTGTTTAGATATTTCAAAAAAGAAAACAATACATATTTATTTGTAAACGAAATAAAAAAATAAAATCATTTTATTTGTTAATTAAATAAAAATTATTAATAGAATACTGTCATTATTTTATAGATGAAGTATTTTGTTGAAATTATCTTAAAATCTAATGTCGTCAAATTTAAAGCTTTTATTCTCATGTCCAAATCTGATGAAAATATTATGTAACCTAGTTGAGGAGTAATGTCAATACGAGTATTTAGTGTAGTATGGTCTTACTCTGAGTCCTGAATTATCATTTGAACACCATTAAATACGTTCATATTATGTGAAGATCAACAATAAAATATAATTACTTAGACTCCAAAGGATCATTAAACACATTTAACCTTAGTTAAGCGTTTACCTTCATAGAGCAAAGGCCTATACAAATAAAAAATACTATGAGTACAATTAATTTTATTGTGCTAGAAAGAGACCATTCTAATGTGGATTGAAGTGCTGGGTCCAATTCAGTGTAAATTAAAAGTATTAAGTAACAAAAAAGTATAAGTGGAAGGCTATGATCAGTAACATCATGGGAATAGGCCGCTCTTTGGCATCTGCTCTCATAAATAAATATCGCTAATAAAAAAACAATAATGTTGTATTCATTTACAGGGCTTCCGTAGTTGTTCAACTGGCGATGTTTACAATGACAACGAAAATCGCAGCTGATTCTGTTCAGGTAAATGTGAAATATTACATTTTACTGCGTTTTTTAAGCTGCAACATGTGGTAAATCTGCATAACTCCGAAATGATAAAAAATTATTTCGAGGACATGTAAAGTCCGCCAATCTGCAGTGAGGTTGCTTTTTAAATGTCTAAATTAATAGTAACAGTTTTATAGACTAAAACAATCGGTTAGTCGACTTTAATACCATATTTAGGGTTCCGTACCCAAAGGGTAAAACGGGACCCTATTAGTAAGACTCCGCGGTCTGTTTGTCCGTCTGTCACCAGGTTGTGTTCTGATGAACCGTGACAGTTACACATTTGAAATTTTCACAGATGATGCATTTCTGTTGCCGCTATAACAACAAATACTAAAAAACAGAATTAAAAAATATTTCAAGGTCGATCCCAAAGCTCCCATACAACTGACTCGCACTTGGCAGGCTTTTATTTTAATTCGGGTGTATTATGGGAATGTGAGATATACGTTTATTTTGAAATTAACCTTCGTGCTTTGGAAACATTATGCCTATATTCGCAGTTATCTTGCTAAATCATGTCAGCGTTAAGCCATATCGGAGCCACATTAATTGGCAATACGAACATTAACGACATTTAGCTCCTAGCTTCGTATGAAACCAATGTTTTCTAAGATAACCTTATCAAAGAAAGCATTAATTTCGAATTGTTTAATTGTATCAGTTCATATATCAGATTACGTACAAGATAGAGGAAGAGGTAATAATATAAGCTTTTGTCGACGAAACTGCTTAAGGTTAGGCTCTGGTCTCTAGGACCCATTATAAAAGCTTCGAGTATTTGATTACAATCTTCCATAATAAGTTTATCTAATATATCATGTGATATATTTAACTCTTTTTTATAGATCATTGATGGTCAATTCACTTTACAAGAAACAGTTAAAATCGGGATAGTGCCCTATTTTAAATATATTTTATCATCATAAATCGTAATAAGACAATCTCGGTCGTGGAAATCGAACCTAAGACCCAAGACTGAAGTTATTAATAGATCCACTGTGACAATCGAACACTCAACTTTACATTTATTTCTTTACTAGTAACCCGCCCCGGTAAAACCTTCCTCTTGAATCACTCTATCTAGTAAAAGAAACCGCATCAAGATCCGTTGCGTAGTTTTAAAGATCTAAGCATACATAGGGACAGACAGACAGCGGGATGATTGTGTTTTATACTATGTAGTGATTTATCCTGTAAAATATTTCTATATGATAAATTATGTTGACCTATTAAATTTCAGGATTTGGAAGAGTCTCTGGCTAGTGTGTACGTTTGGAGCTCTTGGGGTAGTTGGGGACCGTGTTCGAAGACCTGTGGGGGTGGCGTGGCAGTTCAAGAACGGGAATGTCTACCGAGGTACTATTATAAGAGATTTACTGTTACATGCATACAGACTCCCTCTGTATGCATGTAACGTAATAAGAACTAATTGAAATCTGTGACCGCCTCTCACGCCCGGTTTCTGAAACACTGATAATCGTAGATGTCACAACTGTCAAATGGCTTTTCAAGTATCATTTTAGTTGCCAAAAGGATGGTTAAGCTCTCTGAATTGACCAGAATGATCTTCTTAATGATCGGAATGATCAATTAACATCTACGATGATCAGTGTTTCAGAAACCGGGCGTCAGAGTGTAGGTGTGTGTTTATATGTATGTACGTATGCAAGTGAATAAACTATTCTGTTAATGGATTTTAGTGCTGGATCTTCAGTCTACCGCTAAAATACGTTTACACCCACGTAATTTATACTTAATGTTGAAAACCATAACTCTCTTTTATTTACGAGTGAGGTCGGTCATTCATATTACACGGCGACTATATTGTATCCTAACGCGACAAGGCTACTGCAACGCGTTTCTTTTGATCTCAAAGACAAACTTAATGGAGTTTGTACGTATAAATAATCTTCCGGAAAGGCGCTGAAAGAAATTTGAAAAGGTTCAAACTTAAAAATTTAATAGCTGGCGAGTGCCAGTCTGACTAGACATGACAACATTTGTAGATTTTGATTTTTTAACATTTATATATTAAGTGTAATGATATCACTGATTAGATGAAGACTAACATAATTGATAGCATATTCCAAATCAGGTCAATTTTAATTTTAAGTCCGAATCAGGGATATTATGGAGGTCCGTTACCAAAACCGAAACTATCGGATGTCCGAAATAAAAATATTTCCGTCCAATATAAAAGGTTCGAATAATTTCCGATAGGAAGTTTATGATAAAAAAACCGAACATATAACATTTTTATTTCTCAATACAAACGAGTTTATTGCTAAATACAAAGTTATAATAACAACACTTTCTCGATTGTTCGTCGATTTTAAGCGGCGGCTTGGAATTTACTTGTAAGAATTCAAGAAATCGCTAAGTGTAAGTGCCTGTTGTGCGGGTCAGAGGTTAAACATGCCCGCGCGACTAACTCTCATGTACTTACGCTTTTTATCGAGTAAATTAAGGTAATGGAAACCCCGTAGCGTTAAACCTGTAACAAGCTGTTATTGTAGTGGGGGCATTGATTGCTCGTACCAGCCGGCTTGATTGACACACATCAGTGTCGGTGTAGTTCGTAATGAGCATGCGATTACTGTCAATTTTGTCGAACGTTGGCGCCATTTTTATTTATTACTGTTTGTTGTGCATTAGCTATAGCGCGTTGGGCCAAAATAAAAAAAATATTATTTAGAGACTAGGATTTTGTTTACCAAAAAATGTTCAGCAGCAATTACTTTGCGCCATTTTTCCTTTTTCATTTTAAAGATTATCTTATCCTTTAAACGAGCAAATATATAATTGGAATCTCGGAAACGGCTCCAGCGATTTTCATGAAATTTAGTATGTACGTAGATTCGGGGGCGAAAAATCGTAGGTAGGTTTCATTTTTAGAAAATGTCCTTTTATCCCTGTTTTCAGGGAATGAAAAATATCATTCGAATATGACAGTAAACTTCGCCGCAAAAAAAAAATGTTATAATAGCTCGGTCGGTAATCGGGCGGCCCCAAAACAGACGGCCGCGGTTCGTATCACGATCATTTACACATTTATTTTTTTTCCTTTTTTTTCTATATCAGATCATTTTCTTTATTTTTTATATTTTTTATTTCCAAAATATATGATTTATCAAAAAACGGTCCTCCAGGTACTACAATATTTATATAAGTTTACGGAGAACTAACGATGACAATTCTAATTAGTTAAAATGTGATTTATATTTAAAATATACTTTCATGTTGCATTTATTATAAAATGTAGCATTACATTTTTCATTACAAAGATTGTTTACAACTGTGAATTACCAAACATAGAGTTATTATGGAACATGTTGTTATTAAAATTATCTACATATTATCCTTTCGGAAATAATTTAAGAGGTTATTAATGAACAAACAGTTAAATCATCAATAAGCTTTAGTTCGATAACCGTTGAAACCGTTAGACGGGCAAGCTCGATCTATTTGCGTACAAATGAAAAGCGACCATAGATAATTGTGGATCCAAAGCGTCCAGGATTAATACGGCGAGATACGGAGTACTGTTGGTATGTTAAGTAGGTAATCAACATACCGTCACTCTTAATTAAGCAGGGTGCCAGGAGCGACGGCTATGAACATGCCTACGTTTTCATCATAAGAAGATTTTCTCCGTTATTTTATCAAGTATTATTTTCATATCGTTTTAGTTTACTTGGTATTTGTTTGGATGTTAGTGTTAAAAGTATGATTATCCTAACGAATTAAAGTAAGCAAACCGCTCGCGCTCAGCTAAAACTGAACCATAAAGTTCATTCTATGTAGATATATGTTGTTGTAACTTTTTTATCAATGCGCAACGATATCTTTTAGAATGAGTAAGTAGATAATTTCTGGAACAGTTTCTTATTGTAATTAAAATACATGACATACCCGTGTAAAATTATCATTTTAAATATAAGGTAGGACTATAGTAGAGCCACTATAGTAGGCCATAATTTAAGATGGCTCTCTATCCACTAAGGTTTTTGCACAAAAGTTGAAGGTTCTAGGTTCTATTACTCATAGATGTATATACGCTATAAAGTGTTTTGGATTCTTGAAATGTATTTCTAACTGTTCTTATTGTATCTAAAGTGATTTAAATTTTTATAGTGCTAATCTCTGCTCTTAATTCTTTATTCAATATGCAATTCTCATAAAATGCATATGAAAATAACCTAGTTCATTTTCCTTAACTCACAATAAATATAAAACCGGAATGCATCTATCTTTGAGCTTACCGAGTAAGTGTCTATTATTTATTATTATCTTTCATTACCAAGTCTTGCTTTAGGAAATAAATTATGTGGAGCACTATAGAATGCATTCCTTCATTAGACACGTTCTACAGAGTATCCTGCTGATAGGGTGCGGCATAACATCCTCGACAAATTAAGTCCGACGTCATTTGTCATGGGGCCCTCTTATGGCAAAGCATTCATTCCTGGTCCAGTAATAACGCTGGAATGAAATATCACCTGGATTTGTTGGTGGTGAACTTGCGCAGCTATATCATAATACACTCCAAATTTATGGTATAGATAAACCCATCTATTTGTCGAGTTCCCCATTTATAACAATTAAATGAATTCGCTGTTGAAAACCATTTATAACATAAAAATATATTTGCAGAACTTATTAAAGGTTTTCTCGCAACTTTTTGTAATATGAAAACAATTGATTTATAAATGTTATACAATATTTCTTATTTGAACCATCTAAGCCTCAAGATCGTGTAAGGGGAACGTGAAATTGAATTAGCGAGAATCGTTTTATAGGCCATAATCACACTCTGAAGGCAGCTCGATATACAAGCATCTGACCATATACTAAGGTTTTCGTCTAAAGTACTTTTACAACAGATTGGTTTCAAAATTAATTTTATGTTAGGTTATTTCATAGATATTTTTTGGAGAAAAGCCTTAAATTAAAACAAAGTATGAAAGTAACTATGAGTTATTATTGAACGACATATTGGTTTTTTGTAGATGTAAATTAGCTAGCTTATCAAGATAGAAACTATCTCTTTTAAAACTGCCCTTATAACAAAGGAAATCGCCCAGGTGTGGAACAAATACTTGTAGGTCATGCAAATACTTGTCCTGGGCGGGAAATAAGCCCAAGACCGAGGGTCAAATGTATCGCCTAGCAACTACGCTTATCGAGGTTATATAATCAATAAAAATCCACAGTTTTAAGACCAAAAGTGTTTGTAAAAATTTTGTTTCGAGCATGAGCATTTCATATGTAACAAAAGCTTTTTGAATTTATGTAGTATTACAATACATTTCGATTTTTTATTCACGTGATACAAACGCGTTTGAACTTATGTGAAATAAACGAGGTTGATTTCATTTACGAGCTCCTTTACGTTGCGCCGCGCCGCTCAGTTGTTTTGCTCTTATTATTTTCGTATAATTTATAATGTAATTATAATTAAGAAGATTTATCGGTAGCCGTTTCATTCCATAGATACCATTAATCTTAATATATTTTATGGAAATAAAAACTTATTGTTTTCCATCTGTTCCGACTTTTGAAATTTTTGATATTGGATTGAAAACGTAACACTTCTGTAATTGTATATGTACACTTTAAACTACAGGGCGTTAATGTTAATTTGCAACGGTGTTTGTATTGGTATTAATAAATTGTTATTAATTTCATATTAATTAAGTTTAGAACTTTTAAACAACAAGATCAGATTTTTTTTGGAAGACATTAAAATCTTATAATTTTAGACCGCTGTGCATAAGACGTACATGATTTCAACTTTGTGTATTTAAATGCCGAGGATTACTGAGAAGGTAATTTTTTGATACGGAATTTCAATGTGATAAACCGTAACAGCTCAGTGTCCGGGTACTCGCTTTTAATTCAGTATACTCGAGCAGCCTGAGTTCAAATCCTAGTGCCAACACTAATGATGTTAATTTTAAGTGTTGACTTATCATGTGCTCAGTGGTAACAAAACCCTTCATATTTTCGAAATAATAACAAAACTTTTTTTCGAAGACATGTGAACTCTGCCAATCCCCAGTGGCCAGTGGTGGATTATGCCCTAATACCCCTTACTATACAGAGAAGGCCTTTGTCAATCAGTGGAACGTGCATAGGCACATCCTTACATTTTTTTTTTCAATAATATTGCCAAAAAGTACCGAAAAGTCTGTGTTAATTTTCAATTAATCCTGATACCATTTGCGCATTATATGAAAATATAATCTGACGTTTGTTGTTAATTTTTAAAAGCTCAATTATACTGATTACACGATTTACGCAAATACTTTTAAATAAAAATACTGTAGAGATTTCGTTGTATATTGAATTCAAACTTCCGGCATTTAGTGTTCCTTAAAACTGTCGTAGTCACGGAAATAGTAGAAATAACGTTATTATATTTTGTTATAGTATTTTGTTAACGCTATATTTGTTCACTTTTGAACTTAGTTGAAAGTATTAAATATTTTTAATAAATGTTTAAAAATGTTTATTTAATTTTAGGGTTCCGTACTCAACGGGTAAAACGGGACCCTATTACCAAGACTCCGCTGTCTGTCTGTCTGTCTGTCTGTCTGTCCGTCGGTCACAAGGCTGTATCTCATGAACCGTGATAGTTATACAGTTGGAGTTTTGACAGAGGATGCATTGACGAACCGAATGGCGTAGTGGGTAGTGTACCTGCCTCCTGCGCCAGAAGGCGTGGGTTCGATCTCCACTACTGGAAAACTATTGTGTGATGAACATGGTGTTTTTCTAGTGTCTGAGTGTTTCTATATGTATAATATGTATTTATTTACAAAAGAAAAGTATGTTTAAGTATGTTTATCAGTTTTCTAGTACCCATAGCTTTGCTTAGTTTGGGACTAGAAAATGTTGTGAATGTAGAAATGTAGAAACTATTTCTTTTGCCGCTATAACAAAAAATACTAAAAAACAATAAAAATGATATGAGTTAGGCTCCCATTCATTGTTTCAGGGGATGGACAGTGGATTTTGTTTCAGGGGATGGACAATGGATTCAAACAGCACAACGTCGATCCCGCTTCGGATGCAGAGGGGAGACTGCCCAGGCGTAGCCAGGAGATATCACGAGTGCAATGTTAATGTAAGTCACTCTTTCACAATAATTATAATCATTGGACTTGTTAACGTAACGCGTAAGAAAAGGTATAAAGTAATATTGTTTCTGTTCAATTGATAGTAAAACGATGAATCGTATGATTCAACCAGGTGTATATAATATGGCTCAATATTGATAGCTCAGTGTCTAGGCGCTCGCCTTTAATTCAATATACTCGAGCAACCTGAGTTCGATCCCCGGTGCAGGCACCAATGAAGTTTTTTTAACTTTAAGTGCTGCCTTATCACGTGCTCCGTGGCGAAGGAAAACATCGTGAGGAAACCTGCATATTTTCGAATTAATAACAAAAAAGAGTATTTCGAAGATGTGTGAAGTCCGTCAATCCGCAGTGGGGCCGCGTGGTGGACTATGCCTTGATACCCTCTGTATAGAGGAGGCCTTTGCCCAGCAGTGGGACATGTATAGGCTGTTACTTTACTTTACTTTGAAAGTTATGTTTGAAGCTGGGAACCTAAGACCACTGTGATAGGGCGACGCAACAGTCTTAGCTGTTGTACGAATGGGCAGGTGCGTCCGGGTAAGTACCACGACCTCATAGAATACTGCGTTTCATCTGGTGAGTGATGTAGCCGGGACCCACTTTAAAATAAGACGGCAATAACCTGTAACTCTACAGGTGTTGTAAATGTCAACGGGCGTCGGTTATCACAAAACAACAGGTGAACCAACGGCTCGCTTGCCACCTTCTCACATAAAAGAAAAAAGAGAAAGTACAGATTTCTACATTTTTGAAGAGGCTAAGCGGACATGTTTTTCTTTTTACCTATCTATTCGATCATCGGATGACTAGATGCTCTTTTATTCCATGATTATCGCCATTCCGCGCTTTAGAACGAAGAGAATTATTTCTAACATGTGGTTGTTGGTCTATGTCTATTTTAGCTTCAAGTCTGTGTGAGTAATTTTGTAGTTTTGAGAAAAGCTTCGGTTGTTACGATTCCACTAGTTTTAGACTGGCACCCGTTTATTCGCCCTTAGTCTGGGGGTTTTTCATCTGTAGGTATTGCTTGTTTGTCGCTGTTCTATGTCGGTAACGTTATACTTTTGTCCCGTTTTGTGACCGGGTCGATGAGGACGTTACGCGGGTGGACGTCATGAATGGACATTCTCAGAATCAGTAGGCAATTTGCTTCATTTAACATCAGGGTTTTTTTTATGATTTTCAACGAAAAATCCCTTTCTACTATGCTTAGAAATGACCACATAAAACATTTAAGTTTGTTCGATAAGGGAACAAAATTATAAGATAGTTTGCGTGTTTTTGTACAAATTATAAGAATTTTAGGTTTTTGTCAATATACTGACAATATACAATGGAAAAAAGAAGAAATAAATGATTGATGAAAGTTTCCATTTAAAAATTAAAGGCAACAGATTATCTTAAGATATCTCATAAACGGCTCGAACATCGAGATGACTCAGTGGTGCCATACTAGGCTTTGACTTTGGGGGTCGTGGGTTAGATTCCTACACGGGACAAGTAATTGTGTGACCCAAAGATAAAAGTTCCAGATCTGGGTGTTTCTTTCCCAAGGAGGGTAGGCTGGTCGTTAAAAACATAGCCATAACTACTTACAGCATGATTAACATGTAGTGCAGACCGCAACTATTTGGGATAAGGAGGATGATGATGACATGACTCAGGACCGAGTAGGGTGTGTAATATTTCACAAATAGTCTTATCTCCCCTTTAAGAACAATATCTATATCCTCCTATATCACGCTTTTGACTTAGTACCTTGGAGAATGAATAAATAATTTCTGGAGGACAAGTAGTAATATTTCGTAATAGTAAATAGTGATTCCGTTATCACTCTATGCTTTGTCGTTCTTAAGCTGTTTCAGAATTATTCTGATCTCATTCAGGTTGATGATTGGTACATGGTGAGCGTAGTGTTGGATAAGTTTAGTTATCTAGTTCTCATCTGTACTACTCGTAGCAATGGGTTAACGTTTCTAGGTGAAATACTGTCCATAAATTGCGAGGGCTATCCAGACAAGACTTTTGTTTTTCACGTAATATAAAGTGAAAACCTTTGTCAAACTTGTATTTATGCGGGGCATAAAAAGGCTACAAGGTCGAACTCTATGGCGAACTATTAGTTGTCTTTGCGGTTTATGATCCCGGTGACGTTTCATAACATTAGTTAAGGTCTCGACACTTTTATGGGCGAGTGGTGAGTTTCCTAGTGAATAGTAATCTGCATTTTAGTTACTACCTTATGATTAAGTGACTCTCTTTAGACAGAGACGCAAAAAGCGTAGAGGGAAATACATACAATTATCGCTTCTAAGGCGATGCGTTTTGTGATAAACCCGGATAAGCAGAGTAATAACGTAATAAGAGCTAAGATGAGCATCATCAGTAATCAACAACTTTAGAAATCTAATCTTAACAGCAACAAAGTAAAGTTTAAACTACAAAACATTTTGCTAGTATAAGAGTTGGTGATAATGCTTATAACATCGCCGGCTTAAGTGTCTTAACTTGGAGGCAAAAGGATGGTACAGCAAGGATACTTCAACTCTAGCTTTACAAAACTGAATCTTGATTTGGCTTTTCTTTGTTAGACTCATTGTTCTATTACAATATGACCGTTCTCAAGACAACTTGATTAGCCTTTGTATGGATTAGTCTATGACTTCATAAGTCCCTACAGTCTAGGAAAAAAAAGAGAGATATAATTTATAACATATAATTCGCATCTTTATATCGATCTAAACTGTGTTAGCACATATTAGGGTAAGCAATCAATGGGTCGGTCGAAGCTGTAGCTAACCAAGAAGTCGTTACGCTTTATAGTGGCGGAAGAACAAAGCGGTCTCACCGCATTCGCTTGGTTTAACGGACTTATTACGCGTAATGATTTGTTCCACCGACACGCTCCGTAAAGAGTGCAGAGGTATCGAAGTGCCCAATACACTCGCTCGAGCGGCTCCCTATTTACGATCCTATGCCTCGTAAATGTTTCCGTGATTAGTATTGTTGCGTCTAAACGGCAGGAGTTATGGATTCTATAGGGGCCGTAAAATTTAGATCGCCGATACGTACGTTTCGTTTGTTTCGCTAATACATTGATTTACAGCCGTCCGTTACGATTGTAACATGACAAATACATTAACGTGTCACAAGAGATGTTGTGTTGAAAGATCAATAAAAATAGGCGGCTTATCTTACTGTTTTAATTAATGGATCTTCCAAATCATGGAATTTCTATACAGTAAAATAAAACGATGTCATTTTAGAAATTTAATCGTTACTTACTGTTGGATAACATTAATCTGTGTTGTAAGGACGTTTTACATACATAAATTTCATGTGGACATACACCCTGATCTGAAACAATTATCTGTGGGTCACATAAAGATTGTCTCGTTTTAGAATCGAACACGCCGAATACCTTGGCAACTGCGCCACAGCGTCATCCATATCTATAAATATTTTTGTTAGTTAATTATTAACGTTTGAAACCAGAACTCTACTAACAACTTTAATGACGTGTATTTTATTCGATTTAAGTCCAATTAATTTTGTTACTTACCACCTTTTGTAACTTGATGGATGAGCAATAAATAAATAAATAATACTTTGCTTTCTCTTAGCGAGATTACTGATTACATTTGCTTAAAATGTAATTTTAAATGTATTTTCCTTTATTAATTACATAAATTATATTTTTATTTACACTCATAAAATTTTTCATGACAGCCATGTCCCGAGGGAGAGCCGGATGTGCGCGCCGAGCAATGCTCAGCATATGACAACAGGCCGTTTCGTGGTCGCTTCTACAACTGGATACCCTACGTCGACGGTGAGCCTTTAAATATAAGGTGTTTAGAAGTTTCAATTCGTATATCTTACCGTCATGTGCAGATCTATTTTCTAAATCATTCTTGCCTCGAAGTCACCCCGACATATTATTTATTATTCTTTTAAAGAAATTGCCCTTACTGTAGATTAACATTTTTTTTATTTATTTATTTAAAATTTATTGTTTACACCTCAACTTAAGGCTAAACAAAAGGCAAACTTAATGCTAATAAGCATTCACTTCCAGTCAACCCTGGTAGTAGAGAAAGTTTGACGCAGGTGCAAAACAAAATACGCGAAATAAATTAAAGAAATAAAAAAAAAAGCAAAGGTACATTCTATAGAAATATACTTTACTCAAAGATAAATACTTTACATATAATCATTAAATACATATAAATTTCAATACATAAACATTATATATAATAAGTATAACATTGTGTTGTAAGGTCGTTTTAAATTTATTTAAAATTAATTTACATTATTTTTAATTTATTTAAAATCCTTTTATACTATGTTACAATCTTTCCGTAACGATTGTTATCTAATAAAGACGATCTTTAAAGTGTACTAAAACATTTACTCACGTCTTTTAGTCGTAAAGAGCAAAAAAGAGAAAGCTAATTATTACCTCGAAATATAATATCTACAATATAACATCTCTTTTCCTGTCTGTCTATAACACTTAGATATTGTACTTACCTTCAACGAAACGCTAAGCAAATAATATCTATAAATAATATGTAATCTAATATGTAACAGCTATTAAATAATGCAATACACGTTGACACAACATTCTCAGTTTTATAATAATAACATAATGTTAACATCAGGGGAACCACCTGCTCACTTGCCAACTTTTCATATAAACTTTTAATGGAGGGATCACAGCCTTATTTCAAATATCCTAATTATAAACCGAGTGACCTCGGCTTTGCAACCTGTAATTCGTCTGACCCTTGGTCTGCATCTCGCGGCCAGCGATATTAACAAATACTGCCTGAGTAACCGGCCTCGCACCATTATCCAATTTACTGCCGTGCTATATTATTTGTCGGTTTTGTCTTATGGGGTGAAGATGCTCAGCCCGGTTAAGTATGGGCACGACAGCTGTGAGTTGTTTACATAGATAAATTGACTACTTCCAAAGTGCTGGCATTACCTTATTCAGTTGTTTGATAGAGAGATCATTTGAATTTGTCAGGCGAATTAACCCGACGCACATGCAATCAATATTGGCTTGCACGCACGATTGGTGCATAGTTATTTATCGTAGTAGTAATATGGTTTTGATTGCTGTAATGACCAGTTGTAATCGAGTGTGACAATTACCGCTAGTGATAATTATTAAAATATGTAAACACTCTTATTGATGGACCTAAATATAAATCTTGAATTAGGACATAACTGATCATGCATAATTAAGAACGGTTCATTAAATTTCGTGGGAAAACTATTGTATAACGGTTGCTTGTAAAGGTTTATCTACCTTAAGTGTATTCTATTTATAGCATTACAAATGATGTTTACAGCTTAATAAAGGAATTAAAGTATTTAGTAATAAAGGCCGGTGGGGATTGAACAATAAAATTTAAATCGACGTTGTTAGTATGTTGCTTTTACTAAGCATAAGCTGTTTATTAGTGATAGTTGAGTATATTTAATGAAGTGCTATAAATTTGACGTTTAGTGTCATTTTTATTATTAATTCTATTTTAGTGCTGGTCTCTTCATTCGAATTACAAAATATGATTTTTTTGTAGAAAACAGGAGTCGAATCTACTTCTTCTTCTACAGCCCAGACGCTTGAATATGTAGTATGAATTCGTTTATATTAACATGGTATTTATATATGTTATTTATGTTAAGTATGGTATGGTAATCGTTTATGTAAATATATAAATGTCACTATAAGCGTTATAGTGTCAGCCACATTTGAGATATGTTTGCAAACTTAAAATCTTTTCAATTAGGCAAGGATTAATGTTTTCCTTTCAATTTATATAAAAAAAGAGATTTAATTAAAATAATAATTAATACCAGTGAAGTGAAATGCTAATAATGTATGGGTAAAACGGGTCGATGAAATTAATTACTACCTTAAAATCAAGCTAAATGATAAGCCTTCCACATCTCCGTTTTTTAATTTAATTAATCAGGAGTGCTTTCATAGCTTTAATAACTAAACTTATCTAAGTTAACAAAATTATTGGCTTAAGATTAATTTTATTGAAATGCATAAGTTTTACTTATAATAAGAAGCAACATAATTATTAGCACGATGATATAAAACCTATAATGATACAGCCCTTGCATTTAAATAATAAACATAAAACCGATTTCACCAACCCTAAGATGTTATAATGGAGGGTAAAATTATAACCGTCTAATTATATGTTGAGGTGAAGGTTGCCGTGGGCTATAAGGAGAATATTTTGCTAGCAATAAATTTCCCTCTGCTTAGTTACCACATATTACAGGGATCAATTGCCTTTTAAACTCTCAATACCTATAAGCAGTCATTTATACCAGACTATTAATTTATCAGCGTAATCCTTTAAACTTATTCAGAGTCCTATTTTCGCCGAGAAAACAGAGTATGTTATCAGATAATGTATCAGATTTTATATATTATGATAGCATAATTTATATCAGAAAATATTACTTAATGAATATACTACTTTTAACTTGTTTGAAAATGTTTATTCCTTTTATTATAAGATACGTATAATTAATTTGTGAATTTTGTAACAAAACAAAAATAAGATGACAAAAGGGCCTTTTCAATTGTTTTGAACGAAATTTTATTAACAAGATAATTTTATTTTGTTGCTAGCGAATAAATGGCCCGTCGCGTATGGCGTACCTTAAATATTATCTGTACGTGAAGAAAAAACTTTGTAACCCTTTTCACAAGAAATGCGCGTACGGAGGAGTATGAAATTTCCCACATTTATAGTTTAAATAAAGAAGGAGAAGAGTGTAGAATGCTATTTTTTTTTAATTGTGCATAAAAAATACATTAAATCAATATAGAAAACATTACACACACTACCATGTATTTGACACACATACGCATATACAGCGTGGCGTTACCAACGCGACAATAAATGAACACACATATAGAGGATAAATTTTTAAAATTGTATCAAAAATTTACATTCTTTAAACATCAATATTTACAGAGTTATTAAATTTTCCAAAACAAAGAATTTTAGAACACCCTTACGTATAAAACCGTAACGTAAAGTTCATTTGTAAAGCTCACAAAGCATACGAATGGGTTGAATGAATTTAAAAGAGACATAACATACTATTAGAAGGAGAGGCTTGTAATGCGACGCCGTGGCAACGAATGAAAAATTCAGTTGTAGTTGTATAGGATGTTACAAATTTTGTTTCTTTTTTACTTCATTAGTTTGTTTGAAATTTTTTTTTTAATTATGGATTTTTTTAACGTTAATATTTTTTTATGATTATTGGCAAGTAGCGTTAGACGTGTGTTCATTTATTGTCGCGATGGTAACGACACGCTGTATACTCTTTTGTTTATTGTATATTGTACTTGAGAATAGATTAATATTGTTCAGACTTTCAGACTTATAATTTAAATTAATTACGGTCGAATTTCGATCGTCTTCTAGTGTTCAGTAATATGTAATAGGCAATAAATTCTTCTGCTGAGCACTTAGTTACTGGAGAAGCACCACGGCCTCGCAGAAGTCCGGCGTGGAGTATTACATTTTGCGTTTCGTCTGGTAGTTGAACTAACAGGGTCTCATTCTATTGAAGTTTTTATCCTACAGCTGTTGAAAATATGTATAGGCGGTAGCGGTCGCTTAACATCAGGCGAACCGCCAGCTCGATTGGCGAATCTTCACAATTTTATTTTTTCAACAGGCAGCGCTCCGTGCATGTTAAACTGCAGACCTATGGGACAGCAGTTCTACGCTTCCCTCGGAGTGGTGGCCGATGGGACTCCTTGCACGGAGCCGGGATATCGAGCGATATGCATTCAGGGTGTTTGTAAGGTATTTGCAATAGTGTAAAGTTGATACAACCAAACGAATTAATAATTATAATAAATAATAAATCTATCTCTATTAAATCTTTATCTCTTTATTTGTCTAAATATACATTCAGTGACAAAAATATATAAAAAAGTAACAGAAATAAAAATAACACGTATTAAGACGAAATGGTGGAGGAATCAAAGTTGACAGGTACACCAACTTTGATAAACTGTACTAGTCGGACATAAACTTTTACATAAAGAACACGCTTATTATAGATATATAAAACAATAAATAGTTAATGCAACAAACATTAACTATTTAAAAAACTGGGTACTCATAACCAATTATTGCTGCATTATAAGCCATTTTCGACATTTTCTTCTGAAACCACATAAGGAGTAGATGTTACGAAATGAAGGGGGAACTCATTCCAACATTTAGACGTAGCAAACTTAAAATTGCCCCCAGTATGCACAATAGTGTTTTGTAGGATAAGCGGAGGGACTTTCGACCTTGGATAGCACCGCGCGACGTCTTTTGACCAACTCAATTTACTATATAAATAAGCTGATGCTTTGAATTTTATCAATTTGCTGTTTGTTTACACCAAGCTCAGCAAATCCAAAGAGTATTCAATTAGTCATTATTATAATATTAAACTATGTCAGGTCAAAACTGTTAAGTGTATAAAATATTAATATAAAAACTTGCCGCACTAATACTTTCTTTAATACTCTCTTTTTGAGTTTGATATGAGTACGAAAAGTAAGTAAATTTTTGTAACCTCATTTATTATCTATTATGCTTGAAAAGAAGTGCTGGTTTTTGAGATGCATTAAGTAGTATGCAGAATATACAGAGCCCTATACACACCCTTATTCTTATAACATCTTTTACGATTAACATCAATCTGGTTATAATATTTTACTTTTTTTTTTTTTTTTTTTTTATGCGAAAAGTTGTCAAACGAGCAGACGGTTCACCTGATGTTAAGTGAATACCGCCGCCCATGGACATCTGCTACACTCGAGGGTTACAGATGCGTTGACAACCTTTTGAAAATTGGGCTCCGGCTACCTCACTCACCAGACGAAACGCGAAAGTGTTTGTCATACTTCCACTTTACGCCGGTCTTCTGTGAGGTCGTGGTACTTACCCGAATGGGCAGCATTCGTGCAACAGCCGAGGCTGCTGCGTGGCCCTACCACCGTAATCTTTCACAATACATTTTTTTATTAGAAAAAAATGAGAGAAACATCTTAATAGGTATTTTTCTACAAAAGTACTAACTAAATTAATATTTTTTAAGTCTTGGTAATAAATTAAAGCGATAGGTTTATTATCACTTAATACACTTTCATTTTACAAGTTCTATACATGATTGTAAATGTATAATGTGTATGTGAGTTTGTTTATTTTAGTATATGTTAAAATTTCATTATATGGTAGAGGATGCTTATGTCGTTATGTCCGCCTTTGCCAAATTTTTGTGCATAAAGATGAATAGATAAGCAACAGCCTTTTATTAATAGGAATAGGAACAATGTGCTTCCTAAGCAAATTGACCTGATGTACGCTAATCAGAATCTATAAGCCTGTAACCAAATAAATCCAAACTGTGTAAGCGCCGATAACACAGCGGGATACGCGGGGAATTATTGACGAATGAGGAATATGAATGGTTTGAGCGCAGCGGAAATTATCGTGCGTATGCTAAGAGCGACGGAGGAGTTATTAGTTAACGTCAATGAAATGATTTTATCGCCTCCATGGCGTACCCACAACGTGAATAACTTATGATCAGAGCCCGGCCCAAGGAACAGGTCCGCTCGTGTTACAGTTTTTAATTTTAGCGGTAGTAATTAAACCGCAGTTGACTGCAGTTAACCCAGCGTATTCATTAATTCAGCAGTTCCGATTTATGACCGTTTTACCGAGAAACAGTGTTTATTAAATGCGCTCGTACTGTAGTCGCTCGACTATTTTAATGGTTTCAAGGGCGAATTTATAGATGTTAGCCGACAGCCTATTCCCATTTTATTGATATGTTTAAAAATAAAGACGTAGTAATTATGCGTGATTTAAAATATTAGGAAATTATCACACTGACGCTCTGTATCGTGACGTCAGGTTGCTTCAATCTAATCTGTCTTTTCTTTTCTTCAAGATCTGACGTGAAGCAGAGTGTTATATTTTATTTTAATAAATAAATATATTAGAAAAAACAATTGTAACTAGTATGCATTTAAGCTACCATTTAGAAAAAAGCTACAAACCCCACGTCATTACGCACATTACCAACCAGTACTTGATAGCTCAGTGTCAGTGGTAATGAAATTGTTAATTTTAAGTGCTGTCTTATCACGTGCTCGACGGTTACGGAAAACATCGTGAGGAAACCTACAAATTTTCGACATAACAACAAAAAAAATATTTCGAAAATATGTGAAGTCCGCCAATCCGCAGTGGAGCCGCGTGGTGACTATGCCCTGATACCCTCTGTACAGAGGAGGCCTTTGCCCAGCAGTGGGACATTTATAGGCTGTTACTTTACTTTCTTTTTTTTTACGACAAGCAATTCCATTACTCTCTTTCTGCTATTTATAAGCCACAATGAGTACGACACCTTTTGATAACCCTAATAAGTACTTACAAAAAGAAACATTTCTAAACGTTGTCGATAGTTAAAACTGGTTCTGTTGAATTTAAATCCCGAACGAGTAAATATAAGGCGACGAAGCAAAATTGCAGTCTAACTAAAGGCTATCGTTACCAGCTATGAATATTTTGCTGAAACCGTTTATAAAGTACATTTAGATCCGGTAACTATTTGCGATAAGAAACACTTATCGCATTTAACCGGCGCCTGGTAGAGATTTTCGTTTGAGATAAAGTTTCGTTACATAATTAGAATGAATCATTGTCAGTCATTTACATTGCAAGACAATTTTTTCATATTTATTTTGTTTCTCTTGTAAATTAGTAATTCTTGCTATATGAAAACATATAGCGATACGATTTGATATGATATGTTATAAATTATGTTAGAAAAGTCAATTGTAAACTTACATAATAGTACCATGAAGAGGTAATTTTTAGTTTCTCTTGATTGGCAAATTAAAATTCGTTCATGTCATTATACTGTAGTACCTTTCTCATATCTGCATTAAGTTCTTTTCAGCCAAAAGAGTTATGTCTAGTTTATAATTATTGTATTGATTTCTCTAACTTTTCACTCTACGGTTACAAAGTTGCCAGGAAGACTGAACATGTCGTAAAGTAGTGAGATTCTTTGGAATGGCTTAAAGAATCATTTTATGTTACGTGAAAGATTTCTGTGCCTATAATATGGGTAATTTAATTTTAATTACCATTACCAAAAATTTTATTACCATGAATTTAGCGATTCAACAAAAAAAAAAAAATCACGTTGCATGAAGTTTTGTATTTCAAATTTGTTAGTTACTAAGAATAGGGAATGCAGTATGTTAAGTATACATGCTACATTTCCTAGTCTTTAGAAGAACTAGCTCATTTTAATTGGCTTTTGTTCTTCTAAATAAAATTTTGTCAGAGAGCTGATAATAACCGGTTACGTAGTTTAAATTTGAAAGAAATATTGTCATCTTGCCTATTTTTCGTGTGATCTGCGGTTTGTTGAGTGACGCTGACTTCGCAACGCTTAGATTGTTCGTAGCTGTAATAAAACAAGTATAAATTGTCTATTGAGTGAATAGGAATCGGCATCTCCGCTCTATAAACTATTCAATCGCTGCAACTGTATGACGTCAAGGACACGTACGTCGTAATCGTAAATTATTTAAGGTATTGTTAGTTATTACGTGATAGCATTCGCAATGTTAGGCCCGCTGTCGCGCGGCGGGTGTAATAGGGTTGGTCTTGAACCATTTGTTAGCATTAACACAGAAACAATAATTTATTACTAGAGTACCAATGACAGAATAGTTATTGGCGAAGCAGTTAACTGTAGGTATGTACTCGATTCCCAACAGCGTGCCTTGCTCCGATTTAACCCAACGTATATTATTTTCAACCTAACTCGACAACTTTTCAGCAGTAAAAACTTCTGATTATATTTATGAGGTAGAAGCTTAGTAGGTAGAGCAATCTTCAACTCAAAAGAGTTAAGAAGCAGAAGATATCGTCTAAACATGTAAATTCCCAAAGACCAGAGAATAGACGATGAATACCGATAAGGAGATAAATATCGTATGTTTTCTATTACTTCGGTTGCAACAAAATAAGATATGCCATTAGTTTTAACACGAAACAATTACCATTTGACCTTCACACCCTTTCGAGGCATTCAAGCGACCGTTTTAAATTCATAGTCATGTACTCCCATATATTGAATGTAGCGATAATAGATAGTTCATTTAGGGAAACAATTCTCATACATTTCTTACAAAAACAAACTCTTTTAGAATGTTTAGGGTTATTTTTTACCGTATTTAGCAGTGTAGGACGATTTGCCCCTCCAGGGCTTTATTCTAAATAAATTCTGCACTAGCAAATAAATACTGTGCGTGTGTTTGCGTCCTGTGCGTGTTTATGTGAGTTCCATAACCAGGAATTCACGGATACAAAGTTCACCCAAACTCTTTAGGGATGGAAAACTCTTTTGGGAGACCGCAATAAAGGCAATTGGCAAGTGATTTAGCTAAACCAATGAGCTATCCGTGCAGTCCTATTTTATGCGACTACAAATAACTTGACCTCTTTCAGGACTATTTCATTTTTATTGACCCGGACTAAACAGCAGTTCGATGTTACTTACCAATACTACTAATCGTTTTGTAAAACGATCTTTACAACAATTAAGACAGTCTACAACTATCTGCCTTGTGCCTACCGCGTAGGTATCACCTGTAACTTTGATTATTATTCTCGTTTACTTTTATCGCTTTAAGTTATAATATACAGTTGAGATTTGTCTTCGTTTATAGAAAACGTGCCCTCGGCTTTAAGCATGTTAAAATGATTTCACTGTTTAATGCAAATTACAATTT